TGGGGACCTGCTCTCCCCGGGGCGGGATCGGCCCGAGACTGCGCGCCTGCGTTCGCGCTGCTGCAGTGGGGCGACGCGGACAGACCCGCGTCCGCTCTTGGAGAGCAGCAGTACGGAAACGCGCGCGTTGTTCAAGTGAATCGTTTCCATCGTACGAACTTACTAACTTAACTTACAGATGTACGCAAAGATCTGGTTATCCGGAGAATCACACATATATGCGTATATATTTAATATTTTAACTTAATTTTTTGAGACCTAAGGCCAGGCTGGGTTCTAAGGCGTGGGCTCAAGCGATCCTTCTGTCTCAGCCTTCTCAGAGTGCAGGGATTGCAGGTAGGCCACGACGCTGGCCTTGACGAACCGTTTTTAATTGTTTCTGGCTGCAGGGGGTTAGAAATAAAACGTGGTAGAAGGCGGGAATGTATCACGTCTGAACCCGTGTGAGCCCGCGGCCCACCTGTCCACCCAGGAGAGAATCTGCTGCGGAGAAAGCGGAGGTCCCGCGCCACGGCAGGACCGGCACCCGGATCCTCCCGTGAAGTGTCACCTCTCAATGCTCCCGGGACTCCGCACAGGGCGCAGGGAAGCCCCACCGTAACCCCAAGGCCATTTCACAAACTCCGTGCGCCGCAGGGCCCGTCCAGTCCTCGGGACGCCTCGGGCCGGGTACTCGGAGCCCCGCCGTGGGTCCCCTTGGACGGGGGTCACCGGCAGCTCCGCCGTGCCCTCCGGGAGGCTGCCTCTCCGCCTCCCCGCCGCCCAGCGCCCTCAGGGTGGGCATAGGTTTGCACTCCTGCCCTCCCCGCTGAGGTTCTCATGGCAATTTGCAAAGGCAGCGATCTGAGCGCCACCGAAAAGTCCCCAGTGATTTACAGGGTGAGGCGGCCGAGAGGGTGAGCGAGATCCTCCACCGCCTGTGGCTCCTCGAGGGCGCCCCGCCCCGCCACCTAGCGCCACCGGGAGGAAGCGCACGCCCGGTGCCCGGTCCCACAGGGACTGAGGAGGGAAGCTAATGCAGCGGGGCGACTTAACTGCCTTTACTTAAAGGGGTTTGGAAGTTGGCTAGGAAATGTAGGAAACATCTGGAACATTCGACACACCAATGACCTGCCTTGACCTGGCTATTCCCTAGCATTTAACTCCATGCGTTAGGCACAGGTTCGCAGCGGAAGGTGGTTACAGGGCAGTTAAGATTCCTTTCCACTTCTTTCTCAGCCCTGCTGACCCAAGGTCTTCTCCCTTCAACTCACATTCTGCTCAGGTTTCCTTCAGCCTCAGGTTGGATTTTTTCCTGTGTAGGGCCCGTGGGAAGCCACATCCCTCCCTGAACTGACAGTCCTGCCTTCAGCAGGCACCGTGGATTTATGCAACTTCGCGTTGTCTTTCTTCAGCTGGGTACCCATTTCCTCCACTATTCCTCCCCAGAAGAAATTTAAACACTCCTCATTATCCATTGTCAGGCACAAGTCAAGCTTGGAGCAAGGAGCAAAACCATTAGCAAGACTCCATCCACCAACAGGAGAAGCTAGGACCTTCCAGAGGCTCAGTTGTAGAGGGGGTGCCCATCCCCACAGGTGCACAAGTGCACACACACACACACACACACACACACCATATTCTGTCTACTGTTCTCAGAATGGTTCCCTTCAGGAAGTCATGTTCTGGTAATCCAAATAAAAGAAACATCATTTTCTGGCTCACATTTGAACTGAGAAATCAGATGGCCCCAAATACATCAACACATGTGTAAATGTGCATATTTTGAACCAGCCCTGGACATCAACTCCCAACTTGGTGACTGAGGCTTCTTGCTAAGTTAAGCTCAAATACCTAGATTGCCACAGAGGGAAATGACACGTGTGCTCATGGCTGGAGGATGCAATGTCTTCCTTTAATCCCTTTACCTGTATTCAAGTCTTTATCACTTTATAATAGAGTCTTGGGCAGCTTAAATGACACCTTGAACTCAGACCCCTGCGGTCAAGTCCTCCGCCTTGTCAAAGCCACCAAAGTAGGCTTTACATTCAGACAAAACACTTGGTGTGATTGATCAAAGAAATATAACTTGATTTATGGCATTGGTACTGCTTTATTACCAGCCATATTGTACAGTAGGTCTCAGAAAGATAAAAGCTTGCCACAGAATTAAAAGGGTTTGGTTGATGAAAAGAAAAACATTCGATGAACAAAACATGTCTCAAATATCCAAATTTATTTTATCACTGCTGAACACAGTCTGCAGAAAGGATCAGAATTCCCAGTCTGATATTTTTAAAAACCATACCACAGGGGTAAACCCTAAAAGAAGTGAAATCTAACATTATATAGATTTTCATTTCTAAATACATTATATTACAGAAGGTTAAATATACTACCTCTGTGTACTTACAGCTATAAAAGACACATTAAACCTACCAGTTATAAATAATGTAGCATTTCATATTAAAGACAGTATTGTACACTGAAAGAATAGGAACCCTCTAAGGTACTACAATGAAGGTTAGTGTCTATAGTTTCTTGGGATACTGAAAATTCAGTGTATGAAAATCAAATTCTGTTTGACAAGTTACTGGTAGTGTAAGTGATGTGTTAACTGACGGAGAAAAGAAGGTGAATTGCATACTTTATATCTCTGACTAGGACGATACCCTAATTCATAATACTTTCCTTTATACACACATCAGTTCTGAGTTCTGACCTAGACCTTCACTTTATTATTGTCTCTCCAACTTAATCTTCAAACATAAGCACCATTTTTCCAGTTAGGAAAGTGTTGGTTTAGTAAAGTACCCGAACAACATAACTTGTTTGGTTTTATTTTTTAAGCTATATGGGAATAACTTCAGTTTTCTGAGTGAGAACATGGGAATGGCCCATCGTTTGGATACACAAAAGAGGAAAAGAAAAATTCCTAGCTTGTTAGTAAAAGATCACTTGGATGAAGATCCAGTTCCTCCATGGAATCCAGAAGTTATTTGTTAACTAATCAGAAAGCAATACCAAAGTAAAACTTTTTAAAACAGCAGTCTTTCCAGGTGTGTACACCGTACTAATCTAAAGTGGAGAATGGAACTGGGGAGTAGGGAAAGTATACAGGCTTATTGTGCACCATAATGAAATATGGTAAAATATGTAATTTTAAAAAGTGAGCTGTGGTTCTGACTTTCCAAATGCAGCACTTAAATTATTCTAGGATTTGCTCTGTTGCTGTGCTACCAGAATAGTAGGTCCTCGGCAGCTACAACGATACTAACGATGTTCCCCATGTAAGAAAGTGCCTTGGTTAAGGTGAACTATCACAGAGGTATAGTAAGGTCTTTGGGATGTCCAGTTGGTCAGAGCCCAAAGTCAGTACTGGTTTCAGAATGAATCCCATAGTCAATGTCAATAGGTAGCCCTCCAAAGCTCACACCTGTGCGTGCCCAGGACCTCTGGCACCCTTGCCTGATATGTGCTCCCCAAATCTCCCCCTGTCGCACCCTCAAAATCCTTCTCTTTCTTTTTAATTTAGTGCTAGTCTTTTCCTCTGGAATGGTCTCACCTCTACCTCAGAACTGGGGGGAGCTTGTGTGTACCGGTGACTGTGAGGGGTCCACAGGGGCAGGGCTTGCAGATCATGCACTTTCCAAATTCTCACTGGAGTTGGATTCAGCCAGGGCATCCTGAAGCCCCTGCTCGACATTTGAACAACATTTCTTGTTCACGGAGCCCTGAGTATCTCACTGTCTTTCACACCTGGTCTAAAGGCAACACCAGAAATGGCCAATAGCGCCCTCCCTAGGTGGAACTTCAATTTCACACAACATATGGTCACCCAGAGTTAGGTCAATAAAACAGGAGTGTGAGAAGAAAATAAAACCCAGCTCCGGGGGACTGAAAGTATCCGGAAGAGAGTGTCCCAGGAAGGTCAGTACTGTAGTTCTTCCCTTCAGCAAGTCTGGTCGGCCAAGGGAGGTCTCATGTTTGAGAACCCTCTTTCCTTCAGGGGTTCTTGTCCTCGAGCTTGATGGTGACAGTTTTCACTTCTGTGTATTCAGCTAGGGCATATTCACCTCTGTGAGGATAAAGAAGAGAGCGCTGAAACTGAGCATGTCAACTGGAAGCTTAGGGGAAAGCGTGCTCTTTGAGGAAGTTTGGGATTTGGAGTTTATGCAAAGGGACAAACTGTGATGCCCCATTGGAGGAATGGCTGGAATTGTGATCTCGTTAATAAATTGACCTAAATGAAATGTAACTTTAAATATCAAGTTTTTGGTGAGTGAGTAAGAGTTTGCTTCTGAAGAATGAGGGAAGTTAAAAACCAAACATGAGGCAAATTCTCTGGGACTGGGAGGAGAGGGCCTGGAAGCAGAAATTATTACTCTAGAACATAAGTTTTAGATTGTAACTTGGAGCTGACTGAAGAGACAGAAGAGACCAAGATCCACAGCTACTTATGATGTGGCCAGGGGATCACGGGGACAGAGCGGTGAGGCCTGAAGTTGGCCTTGGAGGGCACAGCTAGGAACCCGCTGTAAGACGAGTGAGGCCAGTCTGGATGCAGGGTGGCCACAGACCTGGATTTGGTGTCCTTGCCATCTCTCCTGTCTGTAGGTCTTACAGGGCCCGGGTGAGCCTTCCCAGGGGTCCTGGTCATTCTCAGGGGAGAATCCATTCCTACAGCCCAGAGGCAGCTTTGGATGGACCGAAATCCTCCTGCAGCACATACTCTGCTTTTACGTGGAAGAAACGAGTGCTCGTTAGGAAAAGAGGTAGAAGGAGAGGTGCCCCTGGAGTCTCAGAACTGGGAAGACCTGAGATAGAATCCTGCCTCGTCCCCAAAAGTGATCCCGAGGCCAGTGTGGACAGCCTTAGCTCCAAACTTGATAGAAATGCAGATGGCCAGGCCTTACTCAGACCTGCTGGGCAGGTGGAGAAAGCATCTTCCACCCCGCAAAGTGTCCATGTCCCACTTCCCTGAACCTGTGAATTTAGGCTGTGGATAGAATTCAAGGGACTCATCGGTTGACCTTGAAATAATGGGATTATCCTGGATTCCCAGTATTCTTGAGAGCAGGGGAAGAAGACAGGAGAGTTTGAGTAAAGTGAGATTGCAGACAGAGCTCAGAGAGCTGCCTCAGTGCTGGCCTTGCAGGTGGAGAAAAGGAGCTGCAGAAGTCAAGGAAGAACCCTCTCCCGACACCCCTGAGTGGAGTACAGCCCTGCTGACACCTTCGTCTTAGCTCAGTGAGACCTGGGTCAGATTTTTGTCCCACAGAAGTACAAAATAACAGACGCATTTTGTGTGGACCACTAATCTTGCAGTAATTTGTTTGGCACAAGAGAAAACAAACACATTGAGTGGATCAGAAATTTCAAGATGACTTTAAGGTCAAGTTGGAGAAACCTCTAGCTGGGCCCCAGGTAAGTTGGTCAAGGTCACTGCCTCGCCCGTGCCTCAGTTTCATCATCTGCGATGTGGGAAAATCACCACCTCCTTACAGTTCTAACACTTAGAGATAACCCTACCATGTGCTAAGTAAAAAGTGAATAGTGGAAAGTAATATCCTTATTTTATTAATCATGTGCCAATGAGGCTTTTAAGTAGTTCTCGAAAACATATAGTTTAAGAACCCAGGATAATCATGACAGACTTATTTTGTAATCTCTTCTAGACATAGCGCGAAACATCAAAGCCATAAGCAGACTACGAAATTCTACTTTTGCAGGACAGATAATCCATTAAAAAAATCCGAGACAAGCTAAAAATAATTTACAACTCTGTGTGAGAAAGAGTGCCATTGCTCTCAACGTACAAAGAGTTCTTAAAACCAACAGGAAGAACACAAGCAACCAGATGGAAAAACTAACAAAGGACATAGGTGGTTTGCAGAAAAAAGAAATACAAATTCCAGTAAGTGTGAAAAGGGTGCTCAGCCTCTCACAGTTAAACAACTGTAAACAAAAACAGTGGGAAGCCTACTTTTCGTGAGACAGTCTATTCAATTCTAGGGATTTATTCTGAAAATAATTCCCCTTAGATACATAAAGATTTACATACAGGGAAGTTCATCAATATGGTCTATAGTAGCAAAGACTGCTTGAAAGTAATTATAAGAGATCACCACTAAAAAGGAGACCCAAAACCCATTCTTGTGAGAAAAAGTCAGTCTTCATTTAATTAAAAAGCAGAAAATAACACACTTGTCTACACCTATTATATGCAGGAAAATGCAAATAAACTTTAAAAGTAAATATATTACGTTGCATTGTAAAAACTCAAAGTTGTTAATGATCAACAATAAAGCAAGCAAATAGAATGTTGCAATCCTATTGAATTAACACATACTAATAAGTCCACAATAAAAATTATTCTTGTAAGAATAACTCCAGGGTTCCCCCTCTTTCTATTTCCACAGTTACCCTGGTTCAACTTCTCACTGTTCTAATTCAACTCAATGCAGCATCTCCTGAATCAGTGCTTGTGCAATCTCATCCTCCTTGCCAATGAAGGCCAACTCTGAGGCCAGCCTCTCTCCCCATAAGTCTCGTCAAAACATCAGGGGAGCAGTGTGGTAGGACATGCCTGTAATCCTAGCATTCTGGGAGCATGAGACAGGAGAATCACAAATTTAAGTCCAGCCTGGGTAACTCAGTGAGACACTGTCTCAAAAAAAAAGGAAGCGGGACTGGAGATGCAGCTCAATGCAAAAGTCCTGGGTTCAATCTCTAGTGCTGGAAGAAAAAAAGAGTATAGAGGAGACGGGGACTGGCAACTGTGTTGTTCACTGCTGTGTGTTCAGAGCCTAGTCATGCCTACAGCATCAAAGATGCCCAAAAAATATTTGCCTAGTGAATGAATGAACAAAATGAATGGACACTGGTGACTTCTAAGAAATGGGTTTCAACTGTGTGGATGTGTTGGTTACTATCTTTTATTATAAAACAAAACAAAGAACTAAGAAAAAAAGTGCCTGGGAAGAAGAGGTTGGGCCCAAAAACAGATCTCAGAAGGGCCCTGGGTGGGTGCCCTGGGAGGGGAAATCCATGGAATTCACCTTGTGGTGCTCCAGCAGACCAAAGAGGAACTTCTTGCAACATGACGACAGCAATTTGAGACAAGAGAAAATGAAAATTGGTTTTTAAGGCAGTGCCCCTATGAATTATTTTTAAATGTTTTATCAAAAGTCTTGGGAAAATACATGCCAAAGGTCCAAAAACAGACATCCAAAAAAGTCCCCTGGTGGCTAACCAGAAGAATAAAATAGGGACTGTGCACAGTGGATTCTCATCCAGCCTTGCTCTGACAGGGCTGCAGGCACTGCTGGGTGGTGGGAAGGGAAGCTGGGGTGAGGAAAGCCTCACAGTGAGTCACCCAAGGAAGCTCATGTCAAGAAGGTTTCAGGTGGACCCCACAATCCTTCCCGCAGCTTCTGCGTTCCCAGCATTTGCCGTGCTTGGCCTCTGGGATGAGGACTGTGCAGCTCTGAGTTCCCCAGCCCTGGCTACCTCACTGCCTGAAGGCAGCAGATCACAGGAAACGAATGACCACACAGGTTTCATTTCAGGTGACTTACAAGAGCCACCTCTGTCCAGCAAGACCCTGGGCTGTCGGAAGTCCAAGGACCAAGTGGCCAGTGGTCTTTCCCGGCTGTCAGTCACAAACTCCCTAGGCTGTGTGTTCATCTGACAACAGCTGTCCCCCCTTAAGGACTGTCATCTGAAGGACATCTCAGCAAATGCTGCTGGAGCCCTGCAGGGCAAGCAGGTATCAGAGGTAACAGAGTGGGCGCAGAGGATGCACGCACAAACACAAACAGGCCACCAGAAGGCAGAAAGAGGCTCCTGCAAAGAATCTTTAAGGCCACGCACTTACTGAAGTTCCCAGAAAGGGAAATCAGTCACAGGAGCGAAGAGGAGACCAAGGGACGCTGGTCACACTGATGTGCAGAGAGGGCTCTGGGGCACCTGCTATGAGTCAGGGGTGGACTCGCGAGAAAGGCGAGGAGGTGCATGCAGACTGGACCACGCAGACTGGCTTAGAGCAGCTCCTGAGCGTGGGGGGAGTCACCCTATTCCCTGACATCATCTTAAAGAATCTGGAGATGGAGCCACCCAAAGTTCTCACCAAGGCCCACACGGAGGGGAAGTGTTTAAAGTATGTCTCCACCAGAAGATGTACAAACAAGTACAAGGTGGTGCATTTGCATACACATGACACACGCTGTTTAAAGAAAAGGAAGGATGTGAGCCCTCAGAAATAGCTAGGAACAGCCCTGGGGTATGTCACAGATGGTTCTCTGGGAGCATTAAGCCTGCAAGATGTTTGTCCACAAAGGCTCGTTAAACCCTAGCAGCACCAGGAAGGACATGGAGGGGAGAAACCAGGGTCCAGCTGGAAAACACAGCATCTCTGCCACCAGGACGTTCCATCCAGTGCTGGGCCTGGGCCAGATGCAAGGAGTCTGTCCGTGAATCCCCATGGATGAGCCATGGAGCCCAGCAGGAGGAGGCTGCTTATGCCTCCTGAGAGGCATTGAGAAGGAAGCTTGGCCGCCCACCACGTGTTCCTGGGTCAGAATCTGTTTCCCTGCTGGGAGCGGAGACACAAGCAGGCAGTGACATCCTACCTCTGGCAAGTAATGCACCTTTCCAGTGCAGTGTCCTTACTCCTCAAGCCTATATCAAAGATCTACTGAATGTCCCTGATGTATGGGTGCTGGGGAGGGCACAGCACTGAGTCTGGAAGTGGCAGGCTGAGGATGAGGGAGGGGAAGGGCAGAGTGGGGGCAGGAGGAGTGAGGGAGGAGCCCCAGAGGGAAGGGGCCACCAGCCTTGGTGACAGCAGCCCTGGACAGAGCAGGGGGTGGGGGACCATCAGGCAGGTGCTCTAATCACTAAGCACCAGCAGGCTGGGAGGGACAGAAGCACTTACAGTTCTCTGCCATTTCCTGACATTTTAAAGCCACCAAATGGAGCCTGTGCATACAGTGCATTGTAGCAGTTGATCCTAGAAGAAAAAAAAGGGAAAACATGCTCACAGTTACCTGGAGAAGACCCAGCTGGACCCTGGGGGTCCAGCTGTTAGGCATCGGATGCATAGTGCTGCCTACCACGTACGTGGCTGTTTGAAAAAATTTTAAGGCAAATCAATCTGCAAGCAGAATTGTGGAAAGAATTAAGTTTGTGAACCAAGGTACCACAGCCATTAAAATACAGTGTGCTCATAGCCTCTGCCTTCTTATTCCTCATGCCAGAAACTAAACTTTGAATATTCTGGTCTAGAGCTTTCCACTGAGATAGGAGTAGGATGAGAAGGCAAGAAAACAGAAGAGAAAATATTATGCGTGAGGGATAAGAATTAGCCTTGAAGTGACACAGACCTGACCTCAAAGTTCTCCTGCTGCCTCAAACCTGTGACCCTCCAATTGCTATTCAAGTTATTTGAGCCTCAATTCATTCATTTTAAAATGAGTACAACAACACGCAATCTGCAGAATTACCGGCAAGGCAGTATTAGCAGCATCCATACTCTGCAGATGAGCATGCACTGATTTAGAATTGGAACCAAAAACAAAGTTGGAGAAGCCTTGCATCCCAGCTGGTCAAGGGCTCAAACCCTGGAGCCGGTTCTGCTACACACGGCTGGGCTTCAAAACCAAGGCTCTGGGTCCTCGATTTCAACCGACCTTGATGGAACAGACCGGGAAAAGGATTGCCTCTGTACTGAACATGCCCAAGTCTTCCCCCTTGTCATCACTCCCCGAACAACAGAGTGTGGTGACTATTTACCTAGCATCCATAATAAGTACCATGAATCATCTAAAGATAAAGTACATGCGCCTAGGTTATGTGTGCATACTATGCTTGTGTGACTATGGGTTTGGGAATCTGCAGTGGGTCCTGGCATCGATCTCTGTGAGTACTGAGGGATGAGCACACTGCTTGCGCGATTTGAGGCAAGTTACTTGGCTTCTCTGTGTCTTGATTTCCTCTCCTGTGAAGTGAGCTGCTTGACCCCATAAGGACCCCCATTTCAGAAGGTGGTCACAAGGACCTAGCAAAGTACTCGAACAGTGTATAATATCCAGTTAAAAGCTCCGTTAGCGGAAGGCTATGAGGCTGTAAGGGAGCCAGTCAGAGCTGAAGCCAAACTCTGCTCACCAGACCGTTCCTGATTCCAAGGCGGAAGCCAGCGTCAGGGCTTTGTCGAGGTTTTTTGTGAACACAGCCGCTGTGAGTCCGTAGTCTGTGCTATTTGCCCTTTTTATCACTTCTTCGATGCTTTTGAACTTCAGTATTGGCTGCACCGGTCCAAAAATCTATGATTAATTTGCAAGAACAGCCGTGAGAGGTATGTTGGGTGGGAATGTAGCTTCAAGAGCAGGTATTTCTTTGGTTTTATGCCTTTTACATACACCCTGAGTCCGTATGTGCCTGGCAACAATGACTGGATAAGAAAGATCACCCAATATTTTTTTTTTTAAAGCTGTGTAATGGATAAAATTGGAAGGGGAGGCTTAAAATGGAACAACAATAACAACAACAAAGAAATGACAACTAAAAATAGTTTGTGTTTCTCATTTCCCATTGTCATCAGGGATTCTGAGAACTCCAGCCTGAGAGCCTTGGGGTGATCCGTGCACGTCGGAATACAGAGAACGGATAATTTTGGAAGGTTATCTCAGAGGGTGTTCGCAGGTAGGGCTGTAGAACCATGTGCTCTGACCTCCTGTGCTTTGCACCAATGAGGATGCTCTAAAAGGCTTCCATAGTAACTCCCCGGGGCTGGGAACAGGACAATCTACCACACAGCAAAGGAAAGACAAGGAAGACTTAAAGGTGTTGGAAAGGGAATCTTGAAAGGAGCTTGTAGTTGACCAACACTGGACGTGATTCTGCCCTACTATGGCTCTGTAAACCCCTCCCCAGGTTCCTTGGGACCTTTTGTCATGGGGATAAACAGCTGCACTTCACGCCACTATGGCAGGGTTAATAACCCTTCAAAATCTCAGGAAGCAAGTTTATAAGACACCTGTACCTGGAAGCCCCCTAGAGTGTGCATTCTTTTATAAAACTCCAAAAGGTCACCTTCTCCCAGGACCTAACCACCCAGCACTGGCCTCTTCTCTTACAAATCCTGTGTAGGAGCCAGATTCCATGTGCTTCATAGTAGAATTGAAAGGCAAAGGTAGATTTACACTCTCATTCTTAAAGATACCCAGGAGGGAAAATGCAATGTGTGTTCTAGCTGAGACGTGATTCTTGAGAATCTGTCATTTAAGGTTGGTCTGGGGAGACCGGAGACAGCCTTGGTTGTGAACCCACAGCAACAGCTCTCCACATCCAGCCGCTTGATGGACTCAGAGGCGGTAGTCCTGTCCCCCTTCTCCCACCCCCGAGAGCAGAAACGAGTGGAAACTGAGCCTTGAACAAACTCTGCGCAGTCCTTGGGGTTTGCCAGAGGCTCACAGCAAGATGGTGCACCGAAGGACCCCAAAGGATAGGGGAAAAGCTCCATGGAAAAGGAAAACCCAGCCCCTCAAAGACTTCTGGGCTCCCTGGGCCCAGGAGGAGAGCAGTTTGGAGGGCCTCTGGGCCACACCTACCTCCTCCTTGGCAATCCGCATGTTGTCAGTCACCTCTGAGAAGACAGTGGGTTTGATGAAGAGTCCCCTGGCTTCCAGGGCTGAGCCTCCACATTCCAGCTTGGCCCCTTCCTTCTTCCCACTCTCAATCAGCTCAAGGATTTTGTCAAACTGTTTTTGATCGATCTGCAAAACATTAAAGGAATTACCACCAGCTTCCTTGTGGCAGTGGCTGCCATCTTACATTTTCAGCACCATCAGCCACCCTGCCCACCCTGTGCTCTTGCCCAGACCCAAGTCATGGAATGAATGTGCCTTGCAGGCAGATATTCCTCTGATGCACAGATGTGAGCAGAAGAGGCACGGGGAGCTATTCCCACCCTCTCCAGGACTGGGGTTCGTTGTTGCTGTGTCTGATTCCATCCTCCATGCTGAAAAGCTGGTCCAGGGTGCACCAAGGTTGGCAGTGGTTGCACTCTTTGTTCCGTCAGTTTTTTTGCATCCTGCTAGGGTTGTTGGACTTAGCAAATAAAAACACTGGATTCCTACTTACACTTGAATCTCAGAGAAACATCAATTTGAACATAAGTACATCCCAAATAGTGTTTGAGATATGTTTCATGTCAAAATGCCAGCAGTCTATCTGAAATTCAGATCTGAGTATTGTGCATTTCACCTGGCAGCCCTGCACCCTGAAACTTGGCTCCATGGATTGGAGGAACAATTACTGGGTTCTCCCTTCAAAGTGCTGAGCAGAAGTGAGCAGGAAAGCTGATCACCTCTCTCAGCAACCCTTGAAACAGCCAAGTGAGCTTCAGGTGGGTGAGGGGCTGTAACTTGGCCAGAGGGGGATCAGCTTATCAGAAAGGCTCCATCTTTGTTACCTCGCCTAAGGGTCTCATCAGCTGGACTGTGCTTTGTGCTACAGTTTAATACCTAGCTGGGGGCCAGCAGTTTAAAGGGTGCCCCTGTGGGAGACTGCTCAATGGATGCAGTGCTCTTCCTGCCCCCTCTACTGGCCTCCATCCTGAAATCCGTGGGAGCCGTTCTTTGTCATGGCCCTGTTGACAATGCTTTTCCTCTTGGGCTAGGAGAGGCAGAACTTTAACAAGATTTACAGTCTCTGAGACTTTTAGATAGGAGAGCTGGTTTCATTTCAACCATGTTAAATAGAAAAGTAAGCAAATCCAATGGTGCATTTGGATAACTGTTTGTCTTCCCCTGAGGGGCAGGCTGGCTTTCTTAAAAGGGGCGGATACAAACCAGGCATGTCACTTGGCTGGCCAACACACGATATATGGATCTAATTTTACTCAATCTGTACCTCACACCTTATTCCAGGAAAAGTCTAAAGAGATCGAAGATACAAGCGTGACAACTGAAACCATAATTTGTCTTTCATGTGGGAGACTGCTCTTACAAACTTGTCTTCTCTATGACTCAAAGTACAGAAGCCAGAAAAAGAAAAGGTTAATAAATTTGAGTATGCTTTTTAAAAAGGGCTGGGGATATAATTCAGTGGTACAGTGCTTGCTTCACATGTGTGAGTCTAGGGGCTCAATACCCAGAAGAAGGAAAGAAGGAGGCAGGCAGACAAAATCATCATAAACAAAGTCATAGGGCAAAACAAGTGAAAAATATTAACAAATCATATCATAGGAAACTGATCATTGTAGCGTGTACGTAAGGCATCTTAGAAGTGACAAAAGTGGCCAACAATATAAGAGAAAAATATGCAAAGCAAATATCCATTTGATTGAAAAAGAAACATAAATGTCTTTTAAACATATGATAATGTATTCTATCTTACACACCTTGGAAGGTAGAATGTATGTTAAATGATATCATTTTTAACTCTCAAATGAACAAGAATTCACATCTGTTGATAATGCTGGAGAGTCAGACAGGCTGTATGACGGTGATGGTATAAATAGGTTCGTCGGCTACAACAGGAGTCCCCAGCCACTGGCCATTGTCCAGTGCCATGCTAAGGCCACACAGCAAGAGGCGAGAGGCAGATGGGTGAGCCAACCTCTATCCACGTTTACAGTCACTCCCATCACTTGAATCACTGCCTGAGTGTCGCCTCCTTGAGATGAGCAGTGACCTTAGATTCTCATAGGAGCCCAAACCCCACTGTGAACTGCACAGGTGAAGGGCCTGGGACATGTACTCTTTTGAATCCTCACAAGAATCACTTCCCTCTCCCTTCCTGAACTCCAACCATGGAAAACGGTCTTCCACGAAATAGTCCCTAGTGCCATACAGGTGGGAACTGCTGCTCCACGGAATGTAATTTGGCAATGCTCACAGAAGCTACAAATGTGTTCCCACTTAGCAACCCTACTTTGAATCTTTCCCATGGACTTTCTTTGAGTGTGCACGTGTGTGTGTGTGTGTGTGTGTGTGTGTGTGTGTGTGTGTGAAATCACCTACTCTGGGGTATTATATGTGTTATGTATGCCCATGTGTTCTTTAGAAGATGTTATTTAAATCCTAGTGACTTTTAACAACAGAACTGTACATGTGTGTGAAAAAGAGAACAAAATAGGTGTCCTCAGACAGGTACAGAAAGCTCTTTGAATTCTTATTAAGCAAAGTAAACAAGATGCAAAATAGTAGAGCTGTCATGGTATCTTTTGCATAAAAACAGGGGGAAATCAGAATGTATGACATATTTGCTTGGATATACATAAAGAAATTTAGAGGGCTGCATTAGAAATTAAGAACATGAGGTACCCATGGTGGGGAAGGGTGAGAGCCAGATGGATTATGGGGGAGGGGTCCCCCCAGGAGTGGGAAATAGATCTGTGTGTGTGTATTTGTGTACCACACTTGAGAATGGCAGCTGCAGGCTTAGGGGTTTGGCTCAGTGGTTCTGCTGCCTGCCTGGCAAGCGCAAGGCCCGAGTTCGATCCCCATACCCAAAAAAAAAAAAAA